CTGAAATTCATCATCAGAAGAGTCCTCAGAGAGGAAGACTGTATAGTGTCGCATAGGCTTTACAAGGCTGAGGGAAACAGGAAGAGAAAAGGAAGTTATCAACTTGTCACATTCAAAGCTCCAGAGGAGAGAGAAACCAAGCGATTTGTAGGCTCTAAATAATTTCTGAACGTGACTGACTGCCACTGCAAAGAGCTCTGCAGGTAAATGTTGAGCTCTACTTTTCAGGCAGCAAATACAACTCTTCTAAAAACGTCCAGGGTGCCATCTGGTCGGGAAGGGTACTAAGACCTGCAATCACATCCATATTGCAAAAGAAGCCAATACAGAAACCCACCTTTTCCCCACTACATTTTCTAGAGAGCTGGGCATCTTTTTGTTCTTCAGAAACACATCTTTGCTCCTCAGATTCTCTGAGCTCTGACTACAAGCAAACAAATATCAGATCTACCTCTCACTTTGACAGTCTGATACATGAGAGGACCTGACTTGAAGGCAACAATTGCTACTTGTATCTGTTTCTGAGATCTGAAATTGCTTCACACTAGAATAAAATCAAAACTGTCCAAGGACTTATATGAAATGCAGTTTGTCAAGTAAGGTGTGTATGTTTCTTTCCTCCTTGGTTAATGTCTGGTGGAAAAGGGACTCAAGCTCATTTCTCCTGCATCACAGGACAGTAACTATCAATGTATGAATTCGTTAGCAATGGCCTGAAACAAAAATCCTTTCAGATGAGAACTTCTTAAAATCAGAAGTGCCTCTGAAAACACACTTTAGCCATAATTAAAAAAAATAAAAAATAAAAAATAAAAAAAATCAACAAACCAAACCAAAACACACAAACAAAAAAACCCACCCCCAACCAGCCAAAAACATTTCACCAGACTTTTGACAAGAACACAGCGGTCATCTTTATTTTATACACAGAGGTCAGATCTCCAGGATTTGCTCTTATACTTAATGAACACGATGCCTAAATTTTAGTGAACGTAAAACTAACTGTGCATGCCTATATAGGTCTGGGTAAACATACACTGGTTGGAGGATAAAAGAAAAATATTTAAAGCTTGATAAATTTATGAATAATTTTTCTATTATTTACTGTAGCTATCAGTTGCTCCACTTCACCTTAACCAAAACCCCAGTAAATTACTCTTTTCTGCATAAGGTAGAAGCTTCTAAGATTCACTGTTTCCACTGGCGCAAATTCAAAAGTGGCTATCAGGGCTTTCAACAATTAAAACGCACGATCAGCTTTAGTAGAAGAGGAAAGGGTACAGGAACAGGGTACTTAAGCAGAAATACACTGGAACAAAGAGGTTGAAGAGTATGAAGAAATTAATAGCAAATATTGCTTCATTTGTAATGCTAAAATATCCCAATCTTTAGTAAAGCGTGAAGCAAGGGCCACTGTTCATTCCCCTCTGAAACACTGAAGCTCTGGATGGTAATAGAGCTTGTAGAAAATATATTCTCAGAAATTAAATATTAAGATAAATGCTTCACAAGTAACTGAAAGCAGTAAAAGCACATCAAGATTTACCAGTACTAATCAGAGGCCTCTACACCACAGCCCAGTGCTTTTCCATCTGCTAAAACTCAAGGACAACATTGTGTAGATTGTAGATCCACCAAAACTATATGCACATACAATAAAATGTATGCTCAATTTTTAAGTTACTTATTGTTTCTTATTTATTCTTCCTGTTTCACTTGTGTTCTGGCATATCTAAGTGTGTATGAGTGGAAACAAAAAAACACCAAGAAAACCTCTTCAGCAACATTATAAAGCAACTTTATATGTCTTACGGACCAAACAACAGGCTGATGAACACTGATGGGTGGCACTAGACAGCATCATTTACAGGTCTCTTTTTTCTTCCCCACATCACTAGAACAATGGAAAAGAAATTACTAGGATCATAAACGCAAACATTGTTTCTACCTGTCCAAATAAGGTCTCTTCCTGCTCTATCCTAGTTACTGTAGTAGATCAAAGCTTACATCGTGAATGACACAAGGCGATACACAATTGAGATGAGTAGCCTAATTTTGCTCCTACTGAGGTCCAGAATAAAATTTGTTATTTCAGTGTAAGCAGAATCAGGCTCATCACGTGGAACAAAGGATACGTCCCAACCCTGGAGACATCACAGAGCAATGCAAATGTATCACACCACTATGTACATTATAGGTAAGACAAGGATATGCTGAAATCGGAACAGGACCAGAAGCAGGGACAGAAAGAGAAAATTTGATTTGTGGCCTTTATAGTACAGACACACTAGCAAACTACCTCTAGTGGCACTTGAATTCATAATCAGCCTTCACCCTTTTAGTTTTTTTGTCTAAATCACTAAATAACTATATAATAAAGTTATAAAAATCAGTCTAAAGATTAGGTCAGAAAAAGTTGGACGCTGCAACCGACACCTCAAGAGGGCCCAAGCTGCCACTATGAATAGATGTTTATTCACAATCAGGTCAGAGCTA